AGGATGCAAGAAGCTTGGAACGACACCTACCTTCCCAGTACGGATCCGAACAATGCTGAGGTCCGAGCATTCATAGCAGGACTTCCGGCAGAAGAACAGTACCTCAAAGCCGAGGAGGCGATGGACCGAGCCGACGACCGGCCCAGAGATCAGCATGCGCGGACAATTCCAAGCACGGCCAGCCTTGTTGCCAACATCTTTGTCTCCCTGTCCGACCTTTCCCAGGATCAGCGACAGGTGTTCACTTCATTGAAGGCCCATAGGAACCGCGTTGCTGGCAGACTACCGGATGAACGAGCTTCGTGAAGACTACTTTACTTGGAGATCTTCTGCGCAGTCAAGATTTCCGTCGATGTTCCTCTACTCGCCCCCTCAGCGTACCGCTCTGGATCTCCAGAGAATTGCCATAAGAGCTCATCAAGAAGCTTGGCAATCACTCGATCTCCGACAGGACTTGGCACGGCGTGTCATGCCGTCTCTGAGGGTCCGTATCAGAAAGGACACCGCATGTTTGTTTGGCATAAGGGTGAGTCAAAGAAGAAGTCCGAAGCCGTCCGGGTCGGAGGAATTGTTGTGTTGCAAGGCAAGAACGTTGAAGTTCATCGCGCTGTGCTTCGAGTCAGCCAGCAGGCGCAACGGTGATCCATGGTGTGGCCATTCCTCTGAAGTCTGATGACGGAACGAGACGCTCATCTCAAGATGAGGCACTCGACCAAATTGGTGACAAGATCTTGGATGATGCTCTTTCTGGGTACCGCTAGGAGCACGAGATCTGCTACCATTCGCCCACGTCAGGGAAGAGCGATTTCGTTGAGCTCTCGCCTCACCTTACAGGCCTGCCTGCATGTACCTGTAGAGGGTCGAGCAATCTTCGAGGGGGCAAGTTTGAGCTGCTGCCTCCTGGCACGCGACCGCGCAAATGCAAGAGCTTCTCTCAGCAGGCCTTAAAGCGGAGGAAGACGCCCTTCTTCGCCAACCGCTCTCTTGACTTGTTGCTACGGTGACCTCAAAGTATCTCTTCACTGGGCAGGGGACAATTCTGAATTAAATTAGTGATCGTGACTTGGGCAAGGAAGCCTTCGTGGAAGCCATGGCTAAGGAGTGTAAGCTGTGCAAGTACGGCGGAGGAGTTTGCACGACAGGGTTTAGGAAAACCCATGAGAGATCGGACCCGGAATGCAGGTTACATGGTTCGGAGGATAAGGGGGAACGTGCCCCTTGCCCGCTACAGAAGCCGGTCTCCGGCTACCGTTCCAAAGAGCGGGGGACAGACTGCAGCCGATTCGGCTGCTCCTTCAGATGACACAGTTCGAGACAAAACGGGGGATGAAATTGCTCTACAACCTGAGCCATGCCATTGGACAAGTGGGTAGGCCGAGCAATACAGCAGGATGCCGCGACAGGACGATACAAAGATGTTGCGACGGCTCACCAAAGGAATGGCCAAGTCCTCCGAAGCTTACCCGGGTGTCTTGGCTCAGCGCCCCAATGAGCCATGGGAGAGACCACCACGACGACACCAAGCTACGCAAGAAAAGCTGGCTGCCCGACAACCGCCGTGGCGTGCGGGGTGGAGTCCAGCTGGTCCCCGACCGCAGATGGCAAGGTGTGCAGCAGATTCAGGCACACATGGCACAAAGTCGTGCGAGGAAGGGAAGACCACTCCAGCGAGGCGACTGACAGCAGTGAGGGGGATCTAAGACTCCCGAATTTGCACGGTTTTCAATCCGGGAGCGCTTTGCACCCTGATATTGATGACCGAGCTGTAAAAAACTCTGAGTAGCCAACTGTACATGGGTCATTTTCGGAAAGAGTAGCTGTGAAGGTGTGTGTGTGTTTTTTTTATCCGGGCCATATAGCCCCTCTCTGATCATCCCGTTCCAAAGGGCCGCATCACCCTCAATCTCAGTTTCTCTTTAGCTCACCTTGAACAACTGCCTAACACAAGGTATTGAATGCGGGGGAAATCTCAAGGCCGTAATTCGTTCCTTTCCTTTCAGTGGCAGTCCATGGTACTCGCTCGAAGTAGCGGGGGAAAGCACGTTTTTGCCTTGAAGCCCCATTTCTTTCGCGCTTACCCTCAGCTGATGTCCGGGACCCGGCTTTAGGATGACATACGCCCACAGTACTTTCAGGTCTTACTCGATACAACGTGTCCTTTCTGTTGGGGGAAGCCGGTAGACATACTTTCCAGCCAAAACACACCGACTGTTGAGTGCGTCTTTGTGTTTTGTCGGAGCCTCAGCTACTGACTTGAGTGCTGTACCTTGGTGTTGTTACAGTGAGGTGTGCGACCAGGGGTGATCCATAAACTTAGAAAGGACACACCTTGTTTCCGTTGGAGGGCGATCATACCTGCGGCTGATTGTACAGCCGAGCCTCCGAGAGAGAGAGAGAGAGAGAGAGAGAGAGACAGACAGACAGACAGACAGACAGACAGACAGACAGACAGACAGAAAGACAGACAGAAAAACAGAGACAGACAGACAGACAGACAGACAGACAGACAGACAGACAGACAGACAGACAGACAGACAGACAGACAGACAGAGAGAGAGTCATAGAGAGGCAGAGAGACAGAGATTGACAGAGAGACACAGAGAGAGACAGAGAGAGACTGATAGAGACGGAGAGAGACTGAGAGAGACTGAGAGAGACAGAGAGGGACAGACAGAGACGGAGAGACAGAGAGACACAGAGACAGAGAAAGAGAGAGACAGAGAGAGAGTGTAGGTAGTACTTCAACTCCGAGGTTAACCGGAAACATGGCGTGGCACAATATCTTTTCTGCATCATTGGTTTTGTTTGACGTCTGTTCCTTTGCTGCCCTTGTGACACCCGCCATCGTAGCAACATGATGAAAGCGAATACTCCCCCCTCCAGTAGAGACGAGGCCAGTCTTAGTAGTGATTGCACTGCACTGTTTCCTTTTCCGAGTTATCGCTCTGTGTTGCTACCCGCGTGCCGCCCGCCTACTAGTGGGTGGCCTACTAGTGGGTGCCGCAATGTGCGGTGAAAGCGCACGATGCCCCGTGACTTTTATCCTTTTCTTGCCCGACTTAGCTCCTCTTGTTGGTAAATGTATGCCGCGTACTCTCAAAGCCGCCTCTCAGTAAACCCAC